GTATGGTTAATTTAAAATTGTGGCAACATGTTGAAACAGTAATTCAGACCCTCTCAATCCAGATCAAGTGACACAGTAAAACAAATGGAGCAAATAAAAACTGTGTTCACCCTGCACAAGTGACGTTTAATTTCGTTAAGACTAGTTAACAACTGTATCGCTTGTGGATAATGGGTGCCTGGGTCATCCAGGGGCTTCCGCTTTCAAACACTAACAGCCGCTGACCTACTATCGCCATGCGCATGCTGGTATGCCAGAAATCACTGACCATACTAACAAACATACTAACTGTGCTCTTTAACTGTTGTTAACTTAAATTGCATTTAACTGCATAAAATACCTTGGCAATTCCCTGGTAGTCCATGGCTTGGGGTAGGCGGGGATGTACTTTGACTGGCGCATTAACCTACAGATTTAAAAAATAATTTCTTTTACCAGTTGCCCTATAGCTAGTGCCTTCAGCATGTTATTGTCATACTATAAACCTCCAATGATAAGCCTTGGGCTTATATGCGTTACAACGTTAGTAGGCTACGCCGGGAGAGTCCATCTCTATACGAAGGGCAAAGAAAAAGTTAGAAAGGCTCCACACCTTATCTTTATCAAAACTGGTACGGAGCAGAATTGTTCCTCGCGAGGATGGACAGCCCTCCATTCGACCTAAGCCAAACGACTTCCTGGAGTGGGCAGCTAAGAACGAGGATGATAATGTTGATGATGAGAGTGCCCAGTCATTATCCCTAGTGGCTCTTCGCTGAATGACTCTGTTAATGACATTTTAAATGATCATGACTCTGATTGCTTTAGTTTTTCAGTATAGTAAAGACCCACGATATATCACCCAAAGTTTTCCATGTTCTAATGTATTAATAGTGCTTTATATATTTGTTGTGAACCTGCATGGCTTCTTAGACAGGTTCATACAAAATTATAAATAGAAATTTTAGACTGAAAGGTTTTTATTCGTGGGTTTTCATTCTGCACGTGATAATTTGATAATCAAATTTATGAGTTTGCGTAATTTACACTGTTTATACGATATGCATTTATTCTGCATGGCAGATTTTATGTTATTGATATGGTAAATATAAAATTGAAGAAAAAATGATGTGTGCTGAAATTTTTTTTGTTTTTGGAGACCCCCTACTTCCTGCTTTTCTATTAAACTCGCCACTGGAGCAGCTTGTTTGCTATTACGTTCAAATCTGGGAAACGCCAGAGAGATATATGAATGGCATTACTTTTGTTTCATTGATCATCTTACCTGCACGTACAATTTATTAACGAAAATATCTAAAACATGGCTTAACTGTAACTATTATTATTTGACATTTGCGATTTTGAATAGTTTGTTTAACCATTAATGTTTAACCATTAAAGGGGCAATGTCACCGATTTTTGGGCAATTCCAACCCTTGCAAATTTTGCCCAAAACTGAAAAAGAATGAGTGGAAGCACGAAATAAAGCAATAACAGACACAAAAAAACATGTACAGAAGTCTGGATGGGCAAGATTACGCCAGGATTGAGATGGATTGTAAATGGCATCTTGATTAATTGTTGGCAGACACTTTTTCAAGTTTTAGTCAATTTTTATGAAAATATCATATTACATGTTTCGTGGAAGTTCAAAGTTGTTTAATACGACTTATATATCATAACTTAATCCATTTACAATGTTTATTTTTAACTTTGTAGTTCAGTTTTTGAATAAACAGTATTTTAGGTCAAAAATCGGCGACATTGCCCCTTTAATGGTTAAACAATACTATAGGTATTTAAATGGAAACGTCAAATCGACAATACACGTTTCTTTTCTGTTCTTTTCGTACGACATTAAATGTGTTTTAAGGTTAAATAAACATACAAAACACCTTTGCTTAACGTTGAGTAAAGACATGTACCTTTTCACAGTTCAACACTACATTAAATGTGATTAAAGGTTAAATAAAGATACACAACACCTTTTCATAAAGTTGAGTAAAGGCATGTACAGGTACCTTTTTACAATTTCAACACATATTAAATGTGATTAAAGGTAAAATAAAGATTCAAAACACCTTTGCTTAAAGTTGAGTAAAGACGTGCACCTTTTTACAATTTCAACACCACATTAAATGTGATTAAAGATGTAAAATACCAGAGAGCAGAAAAGCTTTGTACAGTGTAGCTTCAAGGTACGTACCTGTACAACTCATTTCTCTTCGCAGTTAAAGACAAGTTAGAAACCTTTAATTCCCTTTAAACAAACTTTTCTCATTCTTTAATAGGTCGTCTTTAATCATCTATAATTATACTATAATTTGGTCATTTAAAGCCTCCAGAAAAATCTTTAATCTGCATGCAGAAAGGAGAGTTTAGGTACATTTACTAAATTTAATCAAACTGATTAAATCTGATTAAAGCCGCCAATAACATCGCTTTACGCCACCTTTAACCATGATGATAGCTACTGATTTCGTCCTGTGTCAACCGATGTTAGTTTCATTGCATTCGTCTCGTCCGGAAACGCTTATTAGCATAATTATCGTATAACACTAACGTCAGTGTTGTATAATGCGTACAACGCCGTATACTGCGAGTCCCTTTCGTTACATATTTTTGGAAGCCTGTGCAACTTCCTTGCTTCGGCGGGTCGCGCTAGTACTCGCTAACGCGTCAGCATTGGGGAGGCCTATAAGCCCTGGAGAAATAACCTAGTCCGGGTCTTCCTTTACCGAGGGTCCTGAAGGGGTAAAATGGGAACTGGGATTGATCTATTTTTAGACGGGGAAAATGCATGGATTTGGGTTGCTGGGACTGGGATTTGGCCACTGGGAAATGAAGTCCTCAAAAATGGGAATGGGATTGAGGTAATCACAGGCGGCCCAATCTTACCCTGTGTTATTAATTTATTACGTTATATCTTTATATAATAGTATATTGAAAATCACTTACATGTCTTTCCTGAAAGATTTTAACGAGAACCGGCCAAGATTGGCCGACATGAGGTTAACGGCCATGGTTGGGGTTGACATGAGGGCAACAGGAAATAATACAAGGCTGGTCACTTTGACTGTTAATTGGACTAATTGGGACAAACGCTGATAGAAATCAATCGAATAACGCGAACTTCGGCTGTCGCATCATCGCCAAATTACGTTACATCGGAAGAGCGATAATTTTTACATAATATACTTTTCTTTAACAGAATTGAACAATATCTTCCTGCAGAAAATGCCGAATTGAAACTTACAAATGTCTAATCTTCCGAGGTTGGTGACCGGTATGAATTCATGGCCTTCAAATTCGAATTACGCGCTGCATTGTCATTGGTCGGCTTTCAAAACAATAACAGGACATTTCCGGTAAGAGAGCGAACGTTTAGGGAGTTAGCGAATGGCCTCTGCGAATTGTCCTGTTGTTGTTTTGAAAGCCGACCAATGACAATGTTTAACGTTAAAACGGTATTTTGAAACAATAGCCAATGAACTGAAGTGATTTAGCATATAGCCAAGCAAAATGTACAATGATTTTAAACGATATTTAATGTGTGTGTATTTATTCGTTAATATTACAAAGGTTTGATCTTTATTCCCTGATTTTATTTTGTTGTTTTTACGGGGGAAATCGGGGAAACCCCACAGGGAAAATCCATTTTTCGCGTCTGCGCGTGCGCAGTGCGAATTTGGCTAGCTTGCGCATGCGTATTTGCTACCAAAACAATAGCGGTTCGAATATTTCGAAGCAGGAAAATAGCGAACTTTGGAGGGATTATTTTCGCAATTGTGCACCTGTTTCGCTTGGGGAGCAACGGATTTATCTATTGATTCATATGAAAATTACGTAGTTACACGATGGGTGCAACGGAATTGCATCTTTTGGATGCTCATCCTACGGCCTAAAGATGGCAACGAAAAGAAAAATGAGAAAGAAATTTACGAAAAATGCTACCAACATATTGTTTTACATGGTATCTTAAAGCTTGCGCAGTTATTGAAAATTTTAACATCTCTCACACTTTATTGTATATTGTTATTTAAGAAAAAAGTCAATAAAATGGAAGGATGTTAAACGATATATTACTAGGAAATGTCTCTAAAATGTAAGCCTATATGTCTTAAGAACAAGTTTCTGTTCATAATATCCTTAGTTATCTACCAACATTCCGGCAAAGTTCTTGGACTACCTTGTGGACTACAAAATTCTTTTCGTGGATTTTTTGCAGAATCTTAATTTTTAGTTCCTCTGATATCGGGTTTCCACTGACAAATTTCTACTTTTCATGTGTACAAACAACACAACAATTGAACCACACTCGTGTGCACACAGTCAGGATGTTTTTTCCAAACTTTCGAAGCTCCTGATATGGTAACGTTTGAGACTACAGGAACAAAAGTTTCATTTCTAGCTAGTGCAATTAACACCAACTGTTACACAGTTATAATCCTTTGACTCTTCCATAAAGTAAGGAGTTGCTTTTGGATGGTTGAACTAGTAAATCAGGAACCAACACTTGATCCTTATGGCAGATGCTTTATATTTCTCCAACGAATACAACAGTTACTCAAATTTAGTCTTTCAATCCTGGATTAATCCTCGACTGAAGGGTACTGGTTTTTGTAATATCAGATTACCCATCCTTTGCCTTTGCAATACTCTACGACTGTTTAATATAATTGGAATTAACGATTTTGCAGTTCTTAGTGAACGAGAATATACTATTATAGATGTTAATCTTTATAAGTAGTATATTAGCCATTAATCAATTTTCCTCATTTCTTTATTCACTCAGAGTATACATAGCCTACGAGTGAGGAATACGTATTGTTACGTCGTCCAGGTTAAGGCAGGAGCAAAAGGTTGGCATTTTATTTATAGTATTTATAATGTTTGCTTTCGTCAGTATTCAACTACGTCGCAAAATGGTGGTTGAATTTCAAAGTCATTTTCCACAAATACGTACAATTAAGAGATGATCCTAAACAGTGTCACAAGGTAGAAAAGTATGCTTTCATAATTAAAAGTTCAAATGCATCTTGTCTCTATTTCAAGATCATCTTCTGGATAGTGATTCTGTCAAAGTATTTACAGACGTTCTGTTTTTGCCATATCGCTTGCTTCATACTTCTTGCTATCATCGATGCTCATTGACGTTGCAGAATGTTGGTTATAGTTCTATTTTATTTTTTACAAATACAGAACTCAATACTGTTCTCTGTCGCACACATAAACATACATATTCTGTTACACGTTCAAATACATCCTGTTTCTCTCTTTTAATTTGATTTAAGTTTGAGGAAACCTTTAAAAAATTATCTATACCTTGGAAAAAATAAGTACATTTTCCTTTAATGTAGTAATATTTAAAATAAACAAGTCTTCTCCGTTGAAAACGTTCTTTCCACATGCATAATTAGCTAATGCCAATGTCAAGATAGAGCGTTTTCAAATATCGCCCATGAGAACATCAACGAAATATTGAAAAAATCGTCCCCAGAAAACAAAAAAAGCACAAAATGTTGTATTTAACTTGAAAGGTAGGATTTCTTTTATTATTTTACTGTCTCAAACATATTCACGGACAATTTAAAACTGATTTAAAATTCCGAAACATTCACTTCATTTCAAACAAATAGCAAAAAGTATTCCGATCCAGAAATCACGGATATGATTTATTCTACTTCTTTCGTAATTTTGGACTATAAGACAAAACGCCAGTATATCTAAGAAATGTTTGCTGGGCATTAGCCTGCGTTCTTGCAATAGACGACCGACCAACATTAAAGGTACGCGCTGATGATATTTTTTGTTACAAGCTGTCAACAGGCATTTTCTTATGGCTTACACATTGGTGAACAAGACTATATATGTTGGCAACTCTGATTTCGGCTTTATAGTTTCAATGGAAATTTCAGAATTTTAAAATTTTGCCTAACAAAGTACTATGTTGCCTAAAAATACAAAATTTCAAGTTCACTTTCCACAAAAAAATCTATTTTATATAATCTTTCTATACCATTATAGAAAGATCGCAAAAAAGTATATATAAGACATTTAAGCGAGTAGTGTGAATTTTCAAGCCAGTTCTGAGTTAAAGGAGAATAAAGTTGCCAAATAGTAACTATCGGCATCAATTGGCGCATTTTCGAGTTTTAAAAGCTCAAAATTGTACGGCATAGTTTATTTTTATTAAAAATGAATTTGTAATTTTGCATTTTTCTCATTATAATTTTCATCTATAAAACCAAAATTAGAGTTGCCAACATGTCAAGTCTTGTTCGTCAATGCATAGGCCTATATATACTCTACGAAAATGCCAGTTGGCAGCTTGTAACAGAGAATGCCATCAAACAAATTTTGTTGCACATTTTCAGGTTTTGGCTGGCCGTCTACAATTTCCTTTCAATTTTTTCGAGGAATTAGATCCAGTCGAAATTCCCAGTCGTTAGCTTGATCCAAAAAGAAAATAACGAATGTAAATCATTTGCATTAAAAATACTTATTTAAGAAAAAAAATGAAAACAAGTTGCATCAGACCTGTTGCAATGTTGTTTCTGTCAACCATGTTTTAATGTAGGCAGCCAGCAAATATTATTGTTATATCATCAACATTAAACACATAATAGATAGCTTAAGATCTACGACGCCGACGTCAACTAGGACGTCAGGGCTAAGCAGAGGACTGGGTCTAGGACGTCGTCCTAAATAAATAAACTTCCACTTAAGACTCACGACATAGACATTTAAACTATAAATATTTACATTCTTTTAAAAATGAAATTAAAAGAGACGTGTGAATCCACTACCGTTTGTTATGCTTTTGTATCCAAGACTACAAAACTCTTGTTGTGAGGTTGTCGACGTTTGGTGGACGGCGGGCAAATTGAGGGAGACACGTGCACACTTCAAAAACTATTACCAATTTACTTCCGCTTGTCGCCCTAAATATTTGACGTCGTAGATACTTAGCTATCGACTTATTTAGGACGATGTCCTATTCCCAGTCCTCTGCTTAGCCCTGACGTCCTAGCTGACGTCGACGTCGTAGATCTTAAGCTATCTAATAAGACTATTAAGACACACAAGTATATCGCTAGTTAGAAAAATAAGAAACACTTAAAATGTTATTATTATCACTTATTTACTGAGACCGAGGGAAACAGTGTGTTTTGTGGACCCGAGACCGCCGTTATTGCGCGAGGCGAAGCCGAGGGCAACAACGGCGGTCGAGGGGCCACAAAACACACAGCTTTCCCGAGGTCTCAGTAAATAAGTGTTTTGTTATATAGTATATAAGTATCAAAGTATGAATAATTAGAGTGAACTTAATTTGAAACCAAGACTGGATAAATGGAACGCCGTATATGTTTATAGTAAAAAGTTTAAAAAATGAACTTTGGAACTTCATGGTTGACACGCATGCCTATTGCACCCATTTTATTATTGACCGGTCAATAAATGTTTCATTGCGAACCGGTTGCTGAGTTGAAGATTATAAAGATTCAAAGATTTGCGCCAACAATAGTACATAGTTTAGAAGTATATAGTTACATAATTAAACACATAATCGAAGCACAGGCTTACTGGAATAGCAAATCTTATCTAGCCAAATAGCCCAGCATATTATTGGATTAATATATAATAGAAGGATGAGCAGATGGTTTTACTGAATATTAGATACAGTATGACTAGCACAAAAACACAGACACACAAAAAAACAGGAAAGAAAACAAACAAACAAAGATAAACATAAGTCATGTTCTAAAGTCAGTACGAGTTTAAGAACGTTGAAGAATTATGTTTCTTTTAATATTTTTTGCTCATTGCTTTAACATGTTCGTTCAGAGTATTCCAAATTTTAGATCCCGCGCATATCTGATACTAAAGTTTCCATAATTGGTTTGTACAGAAGGCATATAAAATGTGCATTTCAATGCTTGTTGTGCATGTACTATATTGATGTACCTGATTGGTTGGCGTAAAAAAGTTATCAAAAGCACTTTAAGCACGAGGAAGAGTATGATTATTAAAATCGTGCATAAACAGCAAATTTTGAAGAGAAATTAAATCTGAAAATTTAAAAAATACCAAGAGCTTTGAATAATGGACTTGAGTGTTCGTCAAAATTAGCAAAGGTTATAGTCCTCACAACTCTCTTTTGCAAAACAATAATAGGATTTAGATTTGATTCATATGTATTACCCCACAATATCAGACCATAAATTAAATATGGATAAATCAAAGCATAATATATAAATTAACAAGAATTTCCGTATTTACATTTCTACGGATTTGGCGCAACTTGACTTTTGTGGACATGAACGTGACACGGTTTTGACCAATCGGCAAACAAAAAATTTGAACTTTGACACTAACTATATAACAATTAGAATTACATTAAGATATAAATTAGATATATAACTATACTTTACAACCATTATAAGGTCCAGGCACACCGGACGCGATTCGACAACGCGACGCGATTCTTTAGTTTTTGAAAGTTAATAAAACAGCCAATGAGAGCAAATTTTAAAACATATGTAGACCAAATAACTCAAAATGTTATAACGCTTCTCAATATTTGGAAAATTTAAACTTGGATCAAAGTTATCGGTCAATGAATATCGAAAAATCGCGTCGCGTTGTCGAATCGTGTCCGGTGTGTCTGCACCTTTACGTGGGAAGAAAACAGAGTATTTGCTAAAAGGGCTGCTTATTATTTATGTGTATTTCTTAACCACTGATTGATCTGGTTAATTTAGACCGCCTTTTAGGTCATGGTTGCCAAATATTGGAAACAGATGTAATTTAAACTTGCCAACATATGTAATCGTTTGTTCTTAGTGGAAACTGAAAAAGAACTTAATGAATAAATCATCAGCTATTGTTTCCACAACATGTTTCTCCAATGAGTCATACGACAATGCGGCTACTCATACCTACATAGGTCAAATCATTGGCAATAATAAACAATAAAATTTTAAAGCATTACACCAACACAAAAAAAAATAATAACAAACAATAAATTGGTTGACTTGAATAAGTGAAATCCATGTTAATATCAGAATGTTTGCCAACAATGCATACTTACTAGAGGCCAGATATCGCCCAGAACTTTAGGTTGACATCATCTTCTTATGACTATTAAAAAGCTTCACTAAGACAATCATTAAATTAAATGTTTTAAAATTAAATCACAAAAAAAGATTGGTAAATCATTTGTTAATGATTTACCAACAGTCTTAACTACAGCTGATATCACCTTGTACGCCGATGATAGCACTCCGTTCCAATCTGGACATAACGCCAGACTCATATCAGATAAACTTCAACTTGACTTATCTAAAGTTGAATGATGGGTCTCGAAGAATCGTCTTGTTCTTGATGCTGATAAAACAAATAGTATCCTTATTGGAAGTCGGCAGAAGATTAAATCAGCTCCATCGCTTAACTTATCCATTAAAGATAAAATCATTGGCGTCCAGGTTGACGAGAACTTAAGTTGGAAGCAGCATTGTGAAGATCTACTTAAAGATTGTTCCAAAGCTCTTGGCTTACTGTTCAAGTTCAGCAGATATATTCCATCAAAAGTTTTAAAGATTATCGCTGAGGCACTCATACTGTCAAAATTGAACTATTGTTGCGGTTTGGGGATCTGTGCAAAATCAAGAGTCGATTAATAATTTACAAAAACTTCAGAACAAGGCCGCCAGATTGATCCTAGGATATAAGGTTGATGAAATATCTAGGGAGAATCTCCATGATGAAATAGGTTGGTTAACAGTGAGACAAAGGATTCATGTCAGAACCTTAATGGCATTGCATAATGTACTTTATTCTGGTGAACCAAATGCAATTTACGTGAATTTTAAACCATTTGAAATTACTCATGAACACAATAGGCCTACTAGATTTTCGTCGAGGTGTCGAAGTGATAATATGTTGTTAGAGAAACCTATGTTAAAGAAGAAAACCTTTTTAGCTCGGGCTTTTAGGACTAGAGCTATCCGTCTATGGAACAATTTAGACTATACTATAAAAATCATATCTTCCAAATCCATGTTTAAGTCTGCTGTTCTTAAACAGCTAGACTGGTTCATATAATTATTATTAACTATTTGAACTTTTAACGTATTTTAGTAATTTTTACGAATACCTAGATTTATAGACTTTTTATCTTGTAGGGTAATCCTATATTTAAGACCTCGTGTAAACTAGCGTTAGCTAACAGAGGTTCTTTTTTAAATACAAATACAAAATAAATACAAATACTCACATGATCAACTTACAACATTAGTTAAACAAAGCTAAACTCTATTTTTCCCACCGTGTTCTCATCAAGAGACAGCCAGGGCAATCTGGGTTATAACTCTAAACAACAAACCCAAGGCTAGGTTGACATGTTATCGCGCGCTAGGTATTACGTTTATAGATTTAATAGACTTTCAATCAGGATCGTATTTGGCAATGTCTTAACACAATGAAACAAACAGGTTTGACATAACGTGGCCAGTGGCGCCGGCAAGGGGGGGGGGGGCGAGGGAGGTCAGCCGCCCCCCCCCAATATTCTCCAGAGTGGGTTTTTGGATTTGTCCAAATCCGATGTCGTAGGGGGGGGGGGTGCGGTGTGTAAATATTTGGTTGTCAAGTGTACGGTTGCGTGTAATGGCTAATACGTAACTTGCGGTATCTACTAAACTTAATTAAAGGCTCTGACTAGTTGCCTTTTACTTATGCTCAACACAATTAAAATATCCAATTAAAATTTTATTCCCAATGTGGTTCATACATTATCTTTGTTACTTGTTTTAGTCCAAAAAGCTTGCTTAATGTTCTATATACTAAAATAACAATATACAGATATTAACTCTTATCCTCTGCGTGGAAAGATCAACACCAGAACTGTTGTGAACTAACAATGGCCATATCGTATTATTCATTTACCATCTTTGTTTTGGGTTTTGTTGTATATTTGTACATAATTCAGTTATTGTTTAATCATATTTTTGTTTAATCAATATATAGAATTTTTATATAATATCAAACCCTGCACGTTGTTATCATTATCAATAATTTTCCTCACAATTCAATAATTGCCTCACGCCCCTATCCCTGTCAATCAAGCCACTGGCACCATATCTGGATGCAATCACCTACAGTCACATGATCACGCTACTGAATAAATCCTACTCCACCCCTTCCATCATAAGCATTCAAACTCACTATACCGTTGAGTCAGTTTTACCCTAAAGGACGTCGACTAGCAAATTGCTTCGCTCCAAAAATATAGTTAAAAGATGAACAATAAAGTACGTAATGTTGGAATGTCCCGCAACAACAAGACCTTTGGTAGGATAATTTTACTAATAACATATTCAGTAATTTCATCCTTTTCACTTTCTTTCAACCTTCATTTTTGTATTGTGTAATTCATTATAACTTCGTAATAATTTATTTTCTTTGGTTTCACATATGTTCAGTGCTCCTAAACTCTCCTGCATTCTAGTTTCACTCTGCAAACTCTATCTACACCCCCCTTAAAAAACCCGTGCTGAAGAAGACTGCATGTTAGGTCGAAACGCGTACAGGGTTGCCTTTCCTATTCCAATTCAATCTCTCGCTCTTATATATCCTCGCCCTCATCGTGTCACATAAAATTCACATATTCAGTTAGTATACTATCTAATCGTAGTTTCCCTTGTTTTTTGCGTACATGTTCACCATCACAGGAGTAGGAGTTAATAAATAAAGGATAACCATTTGAACTACTGGTCCTCATTATTTAGGCGACACAATGTCTTACACCAGTACTTGTCCAATTACCTATTTCATACCAATGAATGAACATCGAAGGACTCGTTGAACGATTTACCGACGCAGCTCCCCGAAGATCGAACTTGTACTAAATATGTATTATAACATTAAATTCTTGGTTTTATTAAAAATACATTTGATTCATATATTGTATGGAAATCATTTATGTTCCGATCTACTAAAAAAGTGATTTATTAAAACCTTTATGTTTCTCTTAAAGTGCCTCCACAACGCAGGAAATGCGGTTTTAGACACCCAAAATTCAAAATTTTCTCGGGGGGGAATAACCCCGAACCCCCCTGTTAGGCTCGTGCCTTCGGCACTCGAATGATTTGCCCCCCCCCCAAAAAAAAATAAATCCTGCCGGCGCCACTGAACGTGGCAGCCAACAGTCAGATATTTATAAGCCATATATATAGAATAAAGTAAATCAGATTCGATCCATATAATCTTAATCGACCTAATGCGCAATAACGTGTCAAATTCGGGTTACCTTTTTTATACATCACATTTCTGCTCCTGCTACTGAAACCCAGATAACCTGCAATCACAACTTCATAATTTTCTCTGAACAACGAACAACGAACAGACTCAAAGCTAAACTGTATATCTTCTAATGTAAACACTAGACCAACTAGATAAGTAACCAGATTTCGCAAAATCAGAATTTTCACTTGGTATAATTCACACATAATTCTCAACAACACCTTCTCAGTTACAACAATTTCAACAACCACTTCCTTTAAAGTATCAACTGCAGCAACTTGGCAACTTTAGTACGATGAAACTCCTGTGTCACAAACGGGAAAACAACACTAAAAATCTAAAGCTAACTATACACCTTTTCCTGTTCTTCCGTGAACCAACAACTTTGGTAATTTCACGGAGTTGTTTTCCCCGAATCTCATTTTAACCAACATCAAGCACACAACCCAAGTTAAAAATTAATATTCCTTTTAATATTTCTGGGCAAAGTAACAACGGCAGAAATTATTGCGATGAGAACGTTTCAATCCATCAACAACCGGGAAGCAACTTGAATCAAACCAAACGTTATCTTGAAGAAAGTCAAACAATTAAGGTGCAGAAAAACGCAATAATAGGAGCATTTTCAGTCAGTAATCCATTCACTGCATGGTAATAATACCATATTAGCTTATTCTTGGAACGACATTTTAACGATACAGATGATCCCTGTTGAAGATTAAAAGCATTCTTAAATTAAAGCACTACAAAACCAGAAAACATCTCACGAGATTTTTCTCTGATTTGCTCAATTTCATTCTTATGGAAATTCACGTCTTCTCCATAGACGGTAAATGGAGCCCAGATTCTAATGGATCGATAAGCTACTATTTCGTGTTTCTGAAAGAGGTTCATTGTTCTTCTTAAAGCTTCACAAACTGATGTTTCTTGGCAAAGTTCGCCATAGAATTTTTCCATAAACTCTTTTGTGGCACTATCGTCAATGGGCCATAATGTGGCAATAACACAGCGCGCTCCGGCTGCAAGAAATGCTCGAGTTATACCTATAACACCTTCTGAGGTAATTTCACCTTGCCCAGTATGGCAACAGCATAAAACTACTAAGCGAGCTTGCAAAGACATATTTAGAATATCTCGCTGTGCGAGAAGATATGACTCTGGCTTGGGAACAGTTAAACATGGTTGCACCGGGAAAGAGTTTGGCGCAAGCATTATTTCACCTCGACTTGGTTCGCCGTGAGCCGCGATATGGATTATACTAGCCCCATTTAGAAGTTGCAATACTACCTCCTTTGTTGCATAGCGGCCCAATAAAGGGGTAGCTTCGAAAAACTTTGAGAGGCATTTCACTTCTTTAGCGGCACTAGGAAGACCGCGGGGTGTAAAATATTCTCCGTTTAAAGAAACTTTTCCAACAGCTGGATTACCAACAAACAAAGCAAAACCAAAGTTCGAGTCACAGGATTGTTTCATGGTACACATTAGGGTATGCAATGAAGGTGTAATTTGAACGCTGTAACTGTTGGATAAATAAGAGCCATTTTCATCAATTAATGCTGAAAATGGTGTAAAAATCAATTGCGGGTCAGGGACAACAATGAGCTTATTGCCGTTAACGAGATCTTTCACAGGATCAACCAAAAGTTTGAACAACATTTCCAAAATTTCTCGATTACTCAAATCACTATAGTGAGCAGTATTTTCAAGCACATTTTTAGAGAGTGGCTTTTTGTTAGGTATTTCGAAAGGAGAACTCATTTGATCATGGCTATTAACAACTGAGTCGGAGTTGCAAAACGAAGAATTCCGATCAATACTAACTTCTACCCTCCCAAGAAGTTCCATAATTAAACACTGTAATGTTTCGAAACATGCATCTAATTTTCTAATGATAACTTCATCATTTAAAACCCAAACATTAAGAGAATCTTTCAAATTAAATGCAAATAGTAAAATTGAAGTACAATTTTTTCCAAGATGGAGAAATGTTTGCATTTCTTCCATTTCTCTTCGCTCTTCTCTGGCCTCGATTCTGTTCCATATCGCACGGGCATAATTGAACATGTCCTTGTTCACAGAATTCTTATGTTTTTCAACGCGGCAATGGAGCTCTTTAGCCCTACCTAGGTCAATAACCAATAATGCGGATTCTATACGTTCCAAAGAAAGGAAACAACTCATTAAAGCTCTATGACTCTCGAAATATTGCTTTGTGAACGATAACTTATTCTGATCCGGAACCGAATCTAAAAATATTGTATCGAAGAAACTAATTGACTTCACTAAGTGTGATGTTGCAACTTCATACTCTCCAAGACATCGATGCCCATTTCCTAAATTGCCGAGGTGATTTGCTATTCCAGACCGATTGCCAATAGCAGTGCTTATTTCTAAACCAATGGCCTTCTGATATTCTCCTAAACACCGATAGGCAGTGCCCAAATTGCCATTCTTACTTGCTATTCCTAACTGATCGCCAATAGCAATGCTTATTTCTAAACCTTTTTTGTAATAGTCAATGGCCTTCTGATATTCTCCTAAACTGAGATAGGCATTGCCCAGATTGCCATACTTACTTGCCATTCCTGACCGATCGCCAATAGCAGTGCTTATTTCTAAACCTTTTTCGTAATAGACAATGGCCTTCTCATATATTCTCCTAAACATCGATAGGCATTGCCCAAATTGCCATTGTTGCTTACTATTCTTGACTGATCGCCAATAGCAATGCTTATTTCTAAACTTTTTCTGTGATAGTCAATGGCCATCTGATATTCTCCCAATCTGAGATAAGCATTCCCCAAATTGGAATTGTTACTTGCTATTCCTGACCGATCGCGAATAGTAGTGGTTATTTCTAAACCTTTTTTGTAACAGTCAATGGCCTTCTGATATTCTCCCAATCTGAGAAAGGCACTCCCCAAATTGCTATTCTTACTTGCTATTCCTAACTGATCGCCAATAGCAGTGCTTATTTCTGAACCTTTTTTGTAATAGTCAATGGCCTTCTGACATTCTCCTAAACTGAGATAGGCATTGCCCAAATTGCCATTGTCACTTGCTATTCCTGACTGATCGCCAGTAGCAGTGTCTATTTCTAAACTTTTTTTGTAATAGTCAATGGCCTTCCAATATTCTCCTAAACATCGATAGACAATGCCCAAATTGGTAGCGTTACTTGCTATTCCTGACCTAAAGCCAATAGCAGTGCTTATTTCTAAACCGTTTTTGCCATAGGTAATAGCTTCTTTATTATTTCCTTTGCACCGATAGGCAACGCACAATGTGCAATTGCTATTTGCTACTACTGATCGAAGACCAATTCTGGTGCTTATTTCTAAACTCATTTTGTAATATGTTATAGCTTCTTCGTATTCTTCTAGACTAAGATATGTATTGCCTAACTTTGTATTGCTTTCTAACATTCCCAACGAATGGCTAACTTGAGTGTAAATTTGTAAACTTTTTTCATAATTCTGAATGGCCATTCCATTCTCTCCTAAAGTAGCATACAAATCACCCAAATGATCGTTGTTTCTTGCTATTCCTAACGGATCGCGATTTGAAATGCAAGTTTGTAAACACTTTTCGTATTTAGTTATGATCTTTTTGGAAGCCATTGAATTTAATTTTTTTTAATCCTGTTTTTCTTGATCTATCTGAAACAAAGACATATGAGAACTAATTAGCTGGATAGATCGCAACATGCATCTGTCCATTAATGAGCAGGGGGTTAATTATATAATTAGATGGTCCACATTTTTTACCTTTATCGGTGGATGCCAATGTTCATAACGAAAAGTACAAAAGTACGTAATACACCACCTGAAAATTGGAAAAAGAAATTTGACAGTTTGAGCTAATGCGCTTGTCTTGATGTTAGATCCATGGGTCCGAAAAATATATGGGTGCTTTAATGCTAGGGACCCATACTATAGGGTTATGGTGACTCAATAAAACTACAGTATGTATATAAGGAATACGCTCCTTGCATTTAAGCAGCACAGAGTGACGAGTTCGAGAAAGCCTATAGCCCGCGTGCAGACCCACCAAGGGAATAGTAGTGGGCCTGCAAGGAAGACCGGGTGTTTTGAAAAACGCCCCTTTTCATAACACACCCAATTCGCGCGTCAATTGTCAAAAAAGAACCAATGACAGCAACCCAGATTGTAAACAAACTCGATCGCATTAAAATGTTGCGGACTTTTCTCTGCGTGTTCAGGATAGAAACAATGCTACAAATGGCTGCGTTTTACTCTGAAAAAGCAAGCAAACCAGTCAGGTTCAAATAATTGCCAAAATTGCAAGTGCTCATTTTCATCTGAATTCGGAAAATGTTGCGGACTTTTCTCTGCGTGTTCAGGATAGAAACAATGCTACAAATGGCTGCGTTTTACTCTGAAAAAGCAAGCAAACCAGTCAGGTTCAAAGAATTGCCAAAATTGCAAGTGCTCATTTTCATCTGAATTCGGAACAAGAAAATTAGGACGAATATCAACAGAAAACATGTTTTCAAACTTCAAATCATGAGGGAAGTCGTGCGACCACATTTAGTAAGAGTTAATTACCGAGAAGGAGGGCTTTATGCTATATACAGCCCCGAGAACGCGAAGCGTTCGAGGGCTTTATATAGCATAAAGCCCGACATTCGAGGTAATTAACTGACTTATTTCATGATTGAAGAGGTTTTCTAACAAAGTTTTATTCTTTTTTTTCGATTTCGACAAGTATTTTTCTAGTTTTCTCGCTTATTTCTTCACTAATTAGGGCTGTATGGTATTCAAGGGCATTATGCTATATACAGCCCGCGGTACATCAAAGAAAACCGAGTCAATCATGAAATAACAGCATTTAATGTGTGCTTCTTTCGCCATTATTATAAATAAATTGTCTCACTTATCAGATCGTATACAGTTCTTGTGGGCGGAAAGTACGAAATTTATTTCAGTTATTTAAGTTGGAAAAGAACTCGACAAAACAGAGAGCGTTCAGAGTCAAGATTGTTTCAAACGGCAATCACCGTCTTCTGTTTCGCCCTCTCAAAGAAGCCCTGCTTACATGCCGATGCAACTGCCTCTAAATCTTCACCGCGAAAAGCGTAAGAACAGAATCAACATCAACCACAAGATAATTTTCTTGAGGAACATATATAAACGTATCAAATTTGTTTCAAATTAGTGAAACTCAAAAGTAAAGATTACTTGCTATTCCAACACAAGCAATCCCCGATGGCATAACGACAAAAACATCTCTTCCTTCAAGTAGACAATAAACAGTCTGTTCTTGTTCCATTTTTAATCGAAAAAAGTGTTCAGATCCAATTTTACATTTATCGAGAGCCTTTGTGATGAATCACTGATCTAATTATATAATCCAACAGCAAACAGCCATTCAGAATGATGCGTTCATGCGCGAACGCGACAAATACAAAATACCCAGTCTTACTTTCAAAAGCATTTATAAGAAGCCGTTGGGGTTCTCCTGACAAAGCCATTTTGAGTAGTTTAGCGCTGTGTTGACAACGTCTGGTTTGTTGTTATTTACCTGCATGGTGGCTGAATGAAACAAGCAAAGTAAAGCTCTTTTGCAATAAATATATTTCGTTGAACTAATTTTTAGTGATTTAACTCAAGCTCTATCTTGTTTTGCAGTGAATCTCAACACATGAAAGATGGGCATTGATGCGCCTAGTGAACTCGATGACCCTATTGAGGAGGCTGTTTCTCTTTTTGGGAGTCAAGAAGAGGAAAAACAAAAAGAAACTAGGGATCCAAGGATAATGCAAAGTTTCAAATTGAAAAGACGCTGCAAATGTATAAAGTTTCAAATTGAAAAGACATTGCAAATGTATGGGGGCATAAAGTGGAAAACGTGGAATCTCATTAAAATATAGTCTTTGGGCAAAATAAACAATTTTTTGACAGACTCCGCGTTTTCTACTTATGCCCCCATAAAGTGGAAAACGCGGCCGGGAGTCTCATTAAAATCGACCACGCCTGGCATTTTTGCATGCGAAAACGCTAGTTCGCCATTCATTATGACCTGCGGTATTCTTCAAAAAATGCTGCGTAAGCATAATTAATTTGACAAGATGGCGGCCATTCGAAATGGCAATTTTAGTCTTGACGAGGTCTTAAATCAAGATATTTTGAACGACAACTGTGTCGAACGGCCGGTAGATTATTTTCAGAAAGTAATGGAGGCCCTTGGTAGCTGCACTCGGGAGAAAAGCTGCCAAAACGACGCGTTTTTCGTGGATGAATGTGCCGAGCAAGTTGAAACTTTACTGGAAGCTCATGATTCTCTGGATTAAATGTGCCACGGAAGATGACTAATTCCATAAATCCAGCGCCAATACTACAAAGGGAAGCTCGGCTGTGGCTGGCAGGAATTCGACGGCGGATAGGGAGCAAAACGAGTATCAGAAACCCATATTTATTTACTCAGTTTATCATGTTTTCAATAATCGTGGGAAATGTTCGGGGTTTGTACGGATTTGTTGAACCATTTTGTTTTCACTGTGATGTCAAGAAGGCTATTGTTATTTATTTCACTTTAATGCGCTTTGTCAAGGAGTTATTTGCTTTATTATCTGGGTTGTCCAAGGATGTTGTGCCTGGCTACTTTGGGCAAAGTTTTTCAACTACAGTGTATATATGGATTGGAGAGTGGAATGTCAATGGATTTCCTCGGCATGTTTGCTAGTAATGTCTGAAATATTATAATTCATTAAAGTATAGTCAGGTATATTGTAACAGTTGTGAAGATGTATTCTCTCAAACTCTCTCAGCATTCACATTATGACATTATTAATTATTATAAGAGCTAAATAGCTGATAAATAGTGTATTGGCTGCCTCCATCCCTTCCTTTCTGTGATGGATTGTCACCCTTGGTCCCTTTATACCCAATGACTCTTCACAGCTGTTGCAAACATATCAAAACATTGTTAAGATAATTGGTAATTCTTAAAATGCCCATGCATAACTGGTCATTGCTACCAAAATCATTTCTACCTATGTCTCCAAAATTATCAGCATGTATGTACCATTATTACATGTATTTATACTGTTACTGTGGCAATGACCAACAAGTAATGGGAATTGCCAAATAGTTGTCCATTTCATGATGTCAGAGTATGTTTCTCTGATGACTGGTTTTCTATAAATACCCAGATAGCAAAGGAAACAACTCAAATATTTTAGTGAAGTGAAAGTTAAAAATATAATTTCTCTTTGCAATATTGGTGTTGGAATTTTGAAATGAGTCAACCCTGAACCAAGTGTTGTAGGTTTTCTCTGGGTACTATGGTTTACTCACATGGGAAGAAAAATCTGTTTGAAAAAGTTGTCCACTTTCATGACCATTTGACTGGCACTGCAAGCATTTATTGTTGACCTACAGACAAGGGATTCAAAGCAATACATTTTGCCAGAAGTAATTATTTGCACATTCAGCTTTTTATTTTCTTATCTCAATCAATCTGCAGGCAAAAATCATTGCATACAACACAAATATAATGATGTGGACATCAATTGATATCTTGTTTTTTTAAAGAAATACAATGGTTTACATAGGTTATGATATGGTTAGGTAAAAATAATACTATATACAAATTAGCATAATATATCTAACCCAGAATAAGAACATCTATACAAAGTGAGAGGTGCAACTTTAAATAATAACAACATAGTGTTGATATATGCTAATTTGTAGATGTATATGTAGTTTTCTGTATAATTGTATTAATATATTCTATATTGTTATTAATATTTTTTGTATATACTTTGTTATGACTAAATGCATCTGATTGGTTTAATTTTTGTCACATGATCATAAAAGCTCGTGTAATTTTCCAGACCCCGCAACAAACTTCCCGACGAAGGGCCTTCGCTCGAAACATTGTCCTTGTATTTTTCAGGTAGTTGCATCCCTACCAAACAGGGGCGAAACTTGAGTTGGGGGGGGGTGTTCAGGGGGTGGTCCAGAAAAATTTTCCACCCCCTCCCCACCCACCCACCTCTGTTCGCCAGCATTTTGGGGGAAACAGTGGCCAGAAATGAAAATTTGCTGCAGGGCATCATCGGTTTGGGCAGGGCAATTCTGGCAGACACCCCCAAATTAAAAGGGGGTAGTTTTGCCCCTGCTACCAAACAAAGCTTCAAATGAAGATAGTTCTATGTTACTACCATGCACTGTGTGTGGCATAATAAATACACTTAGCACTTTACTGGGAATCTTTAAACTCCTGTGTTTTGTGACTAAAACTATTTGTAGATTAATTTTGCCACTTGAGATAAATCCTGATCACCAGGATCGACAGACTGTGCACGTTAAACAGTTACTGTTAGACTGACTACAATTTGCTGCTCTTGTCACATGAACATTTCTTGGTTGTTTGTTATTAAAACCACTTTCGTCCTTGCTATTGAATTTTTGAACCTAAATCATTAGCTGTAGGAAAAGAAAATTAAAAGGTAGGTTTAATCATTAGTTAGATTGATATGTGAGAGGTCTTAGACTTTTACATCAAAATTATTGAGCGGAACTTTATAAACATTTATTAGACCTAATCAGGAATGACAGTGAGAAAAGCAACTATAGGTCACTGGCAGGAATTGAACCTGCAGCCATGCTGCAGTGCTGGACTAAGGCCTGTTCATGCATTACTGTATATTACATATATACTAATTAAGGTACTATATATACATATATCATACTAAAAAGGTACTGCCATGACCCTAACCCATAAGAGAGCTCGGCAACTGGCCTCTGTCGGTTAGAGTGCTGCACTGGAATCGCAGGTCTAATTCCGGCCAGGGACCTACAGTTGCTTTTTTTCACAGCTGTTCCTTGTTTTGGAATAATAAGTGTCTATAAATTTCCACTCGACAATTTCCTTGTCCAAGACCCTTCAACTATTATAATGAGTGGGAGTTACAGTACAGAGCCCAAATGTCGAGCTCTAACCACAAGTATATATACTGGTTACTGCCTTGTCAATGTATCAGTAAATATTAATATGTTTTAAAGGTTATAGATTTCAATTTTGGTATTTAGCGATACTAACACAGCAGTACCCAAGTATACACACATGAATTCCAGCTTGACAACTGGACTCTGTAGCTCAGTTTTGTTGGTTAGAATGCTGCAATTGCACCAGGATGGCTTAAAATAGTATACAGTTTATAGTTTAATAATTAAAAATAGATATGCTATAAGTGATATAAAACAAACTATTATCTAGTCTAATGGGTTAGCATATTTGCAAAATTGTAACCCTTACGAAAATTTCCTATAGGAATTCCTATAGGAAAAATTCCTATAAGAATTTGGGACAAAATTCCTATAGGAATTTTTCCTATACGAATTCCTATAGGAATTCTTATAGGAATTCCTGTAGAAAAAATTCCTATAGGAATTTTTTCTACAGGAATTCCTATAAGAATTTAATAGGAAGAATTCCTATAAGAATTCTCAAGTCTAGTCCCAAATTATTATAGGAATTTAATATAATAATTTATTCTAATTTCCTATAAGATTTTTGGTATTCCTGCAGAAATTCTAGAATCTAGATGAAATAATAGTAAATGACAGACAATGTTGTTCATCACTCTTAATTTTTTAATGCAAAAAATAGATATAAATATTAATATTGCAAATATAAAAATTAATATGAGAAATTGGTTATACTAAACATTACAAATCAATTATAGTTTTCACCTATTGTGACAAATTAATCGTTCTACCTCAATGCAATGCCATATGATGCGTCCTACTTTATTATTTTACTCTGCCTAACTATTTTACTTTGTCTAATGCCAGACTATTTTACTCTGTCTAACTCCAGACAATTGTACTTGAATGTCAAGGGGAAATGCTGGCTCCGAATGGGTTAACTAGCCTATATTCCTATATATGTGTCTAGTAACTCTAGTTAACCCATTGAATCACATTGCGCCCTGATGCGCCCTACTTTATTATTTTACTATAGTTTACTGTCTAACGCCAGACGATTTTACTCGTCAGAGCGCTGGCGCTTAATGTGCTAAACCATTGGTAATAACCATAATTGACATTTAAAGTTTAAAACTGGCCTCAAAACATAGTCCTCAAATAAGTTCTTGTTCTTGTTTGCTTTTCTGTACTTTGCAACACTTTCCCATGTTGTTTATATTTGTCCTCATATGTTGACGAACCTCTGAGGCCTTACATCCATACTTTGTTGATAGCTGTAAAAAGACAAATACATTCATTTTATGTCTACCATTCCAATGTGTTTTGTTAACCCATTAAATATGCCCAAATGCACCCAATTTATTATTTTACTCTAAGTGGAGAGTCTAGCACTTTAATAGAATAAACACTGTAAAATAACAAAGTACTAAAAGTAGGGCACATTGCTTCTAAATATGCCACACAGCAGCTTTTGCAGTTAAAGGGGAAGTCAAGTCCGTACTGCGCATCGGTTCTGCGCATAACAATGTGAGGACCTCTAATGTGAAAATTGCCCAAATTTCGAATGTTTCGAATTTTTCTGAACATAAACTTTATTTCATATTCACTTAGAAACATAGCGAACCAAAATAGTGTTAGATATTCAGACAGTACATCATATTTTAAAAAATACAGCAGTTCATGATCAAAATGTAAACAAATCGTTTGTTTACATTACGGACTTGACTTCCCCTTTAATATTAACCTTTCAATGACCAACATTCATTTTGATGAGTAAAATCATCTGATAAATATCAAAGTACTGAAAGTGGGGATTGAGTGTTAGGGTGAATTGCATCTAAATGTGCTAACGCCAAATAATGCAAAATAGTCTGGTATTAACAGGGCAAAATATTGAGCTTTGAAATAGAGCGCATTAGTGTGAATTTGTGAATTGGGTCTTAATGAGTTTACACAAAACACAGGGAGACAGCAAGGTAACCTATCAAAGTTTTCCACTCTCTTTCAAGTAAAATTATCTGGTGTTAGACAAGGTATAAAATAAAAAAGTACTGAAAGTTGAGCACATTCATCTTAACAAGTTAGCATGAAATGTAAGCTAGCAGAGAGTCTGGTTAATTCGAATACCATCACATAGTTACTGTATGTTTATAAACTGTGGTTTAATTAATAGAAAAACATGGATAATTTTCCTGGCATTACACTAAAGCATGTCTAAAGGCTAACAGATTTTAATACATTGACTGGTGCAAGACCTCTCAAAATGAAAATTGTTTAATTTAAACAAAACATATGAATAAATACTGCTTCTGATTTGAGCAAGTAGTTAAATTTTCTATAGGCATGCATTAAATATGCCTGACAATTTACAATTAATCTGGCATATACAGTTGGCACTTGGGATATACAAATATATTAATAAACATGGATAAGTCTGATTCAAATATAAGACTTTTATAGTAGCATTTGTTGAAGTATAAATGCTATAAATATATTTATATCAGCATTCTAATTCCGTTTATATTGTCGCGGCAAATTCAAATTTTATCGAACCACATGCTCGAATTTCACAAATGAAGATTGGAGGTATTTCCTCTATAATTTGCTATATTATAAATAAAATATAAACTTATTCTTACCTGAACATTATGCAAACATCCCTGATGTATTACTAGTGAAAATCCAGTTGAATCCCATCAAAAATAGTTCTATTTTGCACATAAACCATTGACAAACACTGACTTGAAAAAATATCGGAGGTGTGATGATCTATCCCTTGATGCTTTGCGCGCGTGGCAAGAAAACTAGACACCAGTCTGTCAGTCGCGCACATTGCGGTAATTATTCATTTAATCTTAGAAAATAAATAGTCCCAGTATTAAATTCTCTATTAATAAATGTCTATGAGTAAAATACGATATAGGAATAGTGTAGTTGTATAAGAAATTAAAATTCCTATAAGAATTCTTATAGGATATGATAATGGTGAAAAAATTCCTATAAGAAATAGAAATTCCTGTAGGAAGGAGTTATTTCGTAAATTATATTTATCTGTATATTTTTTTATATAAGTAAAGTTCTTATACCCATGCATGTATCAGGCCATAGTGGTATAGGCTATGAATTTTTCCCACCATTTTCCAATCCTATAAGAATTCCTATAGGAATTTTTATTTCCTATAGGATTTTTTTTCACCATTTTCAAATCCTATAGGAATTTTCATTTCCTATAGGAATTCCTATAGCCACTTTCCAATCCTATAGGAATTCCTACAGGAATATTTTTTCCTATAGGAATTTTTTCACCATTTTCAATTCCTATAGGAATTCCTATAGGAATTTTCAATGCCAATAGGAATTCCTATAGGAAATTTCAATTCCTATAGGAATTCCTATAGGAATTTTCAATGCTTATAGGAATTCTTATAGGAAATTTTAATTCCTGTAGGAATTCCTATAGGAATTTTCAATGCCTATAGGAATTCCTATAGGAAATTTCAATTCCTATAGGAATTCCTATAGGAAATTTTCGTAAGGGAAAGCACCTTAACACTTTTAAAACAGGCGAGCTTTACATTCAGATTCAGTATATTATGATTGTGCACGAGAAATCAAAGATCTAAATTTCGGATTTTCAGAGTCATGAACCAAGAAAATGCATTAACTAAACTAGCAAGAATGTCCATTACAACCTCGTACCCAGGGCTAGTCGCGAATTGAAGGCGGCGACATAGCCCTGGTAAACGCTGGTCACGTGACTCCAACATTACATAATTGTTACTTTTCTCAACCGGGGGGTGAATAGGTGAAACTCGAAGACAAACAGTTTTTATCTCCGAAATTCTTCAATCTTCCTTGTGAATTTTGCACTTCAAGCTTTTCTCAAAGTACGGCGATCGATCAAATGGATCAATACTTTCTGTAGAAAAAACTCAGTGAGATTTTTTCCAATGAGACGTTTAAAAGACTTGGATATGTCGCCAAAGACGCTCAATCATTATTTGCACAGGTTTATGGAATAGTACTTTGTTCAGTTTGTTGCGACTTGCGAAGCAAATGAATGCATATTCAACTCTTGTATAATGACTAAAAGTTGGTTTGTAGAGGGACAACTTAATATACAAAAGATATGAATACATTAGCTTCAAACTTGGGACAAGTTCATGGACAATGGACATCCCTAATATATGGACATCGACATTTCACCAATATGTAAATATGACTATTAAATTAAATATATAAAAGGATTGCTGTTGTATTACTTGTACATGGTCCAGATTCCAGCGATTGGCAAACCCGATCCAGTTGTGTTTCATTGCCAAGATTTGTGAGTTGGAAACCAGATACAGTGGCAGAGGCAGTGGATGCCTTTACACTGGATTAGAACCAACTCGCAGGGTATGTTTTCCCTCCATTTGCCCTAATAGGGCGTTGCCTGAGGCAGATTAAACAACAGTCAGTTCCTCAAATAACCATGGTCACACCAGTGTGGGAGACCGAGTCCTGGTATCCGCTACAGCTGGGAATGATAATAGAAGCCCCAGTGCTACTACCATCATTCCCAGGGTCGTCGAGACAATTAGACAACTGCGTTTAGCCGCATGGCGTGTCTCAGGACAAATTTTCAAAGTACGTCAATTTCACAGGCAGCTCAAGGACTTCTCTTGGCTGCATGGAGAGCCCGAACAGACTTATACTTCTGCCTAGCGGAAGTGGATTGGCTGGTGTAGTGAACAACAAGTCAGTCCACTTTCAGCACCTTTAGGGGCTATAGTGAACTTTATAGCTATTCGGTTTGAATTAGGGCTAGAATACCGTACGTTCAATGTTTCTCGGTCAGCTATATCTGCTACACATCCACAGATCCAAGGTTGGAATGTAGGCGAGCACCCGGTGATAGTTCAATTGTTGAAAGGGATTTTTAATTCTCGTCCTCCTATGCCCAGGTATATTAATACATGGGATGTGAATGCAGTTACAAAGTATTTTGAAAGTTGCAGTGCAAATGACAAACTAACATTAAAACAATTGAGTAAGAAACTAGTTGTGCTGCCAGCACTTACTTCGGCAGAAAGAGGCTCAGAATTAATTGCACAGGATTTAAGGTTCAGGCGATTCCATCCAGAAGGAGTATCTTTAACCTTCCGGAGCTTATGAAAGGAGTTCGTGCAGGGAAACCACTGAAAATCTCTTTTCATGCAAATTTTCCCACAAGTGAGTTGCTGTGTCCTGTCGCATGTCTCAAAGAGTATGAGAAACGAACAAAAATGTTTCGTCCGAGTTCCAGCAAAGAACCAAATAAACTGTTTTTATCACTAAATAAACCTCACAAACCTATAACCTCCTCAACGTTGTCCCATTGGGTAAAGGTTTGCTTACTAGAAGCAGGAATAGAGAACAATGTATTTAAAGCACACTCTGCAAGAGGTGCATCGACGTCTGCAGCAGCTAGAGCTGGTATTTCTCTTCCTGAAATAATAAAATTGGGAGATCGGACAAAGGATAGTACCTTCAAGCGATTCTATTATCGTCCGGTATGGAATGCTACTGTAGGTCGTGCGATATTACACAATGCTTCAGTAGGATGAGGATTTAAACTTACATTGTTATATTGAGGCGAGTATTATGAAGTAATTTTAAAAAGAACAAAACAATAGACACTCCGAAAATAGTTAACATTTTATTCAACGTTTCGACTAGGTTTCAGTCATCATCAGGAATGACGCTATTGAAAAATACTGAGATATATATTTACAAGTTAAGCGGATCAAATTACGCGCTAATTAAATATCACAAGTTCCTTAGAGGCTCTAGTTCCTTGATTAAGTTCCGGTTTTTGGCGATGTATAAGTAAGGACTCCTTATATAACAATAATGACCAATGTCTAGATTTATCTAAAAAACACAGTTTTGGTATATGATGGCTTCTGTGGTATGTGGATCAAATTGAGCAAGTAGTGTGTTGGGTAGGTTTAGTAGGGTCTGGTAATATTGGAAGTGTTCACATGACATAATATGTTTGTGAACTTCTGAATTTTTGTCGGAGGTGTGTTCTTTAATCCTTGTTCTGAGGCAGCGGTCAGTTTTTCCGATGTACGAGAATTGACAACCAGGACAGCTAAATTTGTATACAACACTACTTTGGAGCTCTTTTTATTAGCCTAAAAGACCGAACGGATAAAGAGCTCATTGTATCCATACCGGAATCAAGGACAACCCTAATAACATTATAACCAATCTCACTAATGACCCGCTCTAAACTGAAGAAGAACGTGTGCTTCGTTTTGGACTCAAACATAGCCTTGCCACGCGACCCAAAGAATCAGACATCATCGCCGCAGCCGAGTGAATTTGGGATCAACTAAAACGTAACAGCTTGATTCCTGATAGCTTCATCAAGCAGCAAAAGATTAAGAACTCCATCAAGGCCTTAGCTTGCAACTTCTTAGACTTTGACGATAGACGACTTACCGAAGACAGCAAACACATTAAGATCCTGAAAGACTTACGTAAACGATACGCTATTCTTAAACCAGATAAAGGTAACGGTGTTGTACTTATAAAGCTATCAGACTACTATAACAGTATGACTTCCATATTTTCCGACCCAACCAAGTTTCAAAAACTCGACAACGACCCTTCTTTAACCCAACTCTCTTCTCTACAAGAATACTTACGCACAATACATAAACGCAACGAAATTGACGATGTAACATACCGAAATATTCGACCACAATCTACGAGACCTGCTCGCGCACATGGACTTTCTAAGACACACAAACCTTTTGACTATCTACCATCTTTTCGCCCTATTATTGACACAACCGGTACTGCCTACCAGCCTGTAGCTAAGTATCTCTCTTCCCTTCTCTTCTCAACCCTCTTACACACAACGAATTCAAAGTTAAAGACAGTTTTGACGCTGTTTCACGCATTCTCAACATACCCACACACCTTTTTTCTCAAGGCCACAGACTAGTATCCTTTGACGTTTCTTCTCTTTTCACCAACATCCCTCTACGCAAAACTGTGAACATAATCTTAGACAGAATTAACAAAGACAAACGAATTACGACATCACTTAACAAACGAACACTCAAGAAATTACTTTTAGACTCATGCACCAAAACACCTTTCTCTTTGAATGACCAACTTTACAGACAAATTGACGGCGTGTCTATGGGTTCGCCTTTAGGTCCTACTCCCGCTGATATTTTAATGACTGCCTTTGAGGACGAAATAGTCAGACCTCTTCTCTCTTCCAACGTAATTAAATTCTACTCACGCTATGTTGACGACACATTGGTACTGATTAAACCTTGTGACATATCTAACGTACTAAAGAAATTTATTTCCTTTCACCCACTCATTAAATTCACACACGAAGAATTCACTGACAACAATGATGTTCATTTTCTGGATATCAAAATAACCTCAACTGGCACAACAATATACCGCAAATCCACACACACAGGCCAATATATCCATCTCTCGAGCTTTACTCCTTGGTGCAGAAAAACAGCTTGGCTGAGAGCCTTAGTCCACCGCGCACACAAGATTCGTAGCAACATCGACCTCCCAAAGAACGAACTATAAAGGATTGCTGAGTTTGCATCTTGGAATGGCTACCCTCGTCACATGACCAACAAACTGATCAACGCGTTTTCACCACCACCTCTGAACCACGACATTGCTCCTGACAACAACGACACTGAAAACGAGAATACGCATCCAAAACCGCCCACAATCTGGATTCACCTTCCGTTCATTGGCAAGAAAGGAACTTCCCTTATACGCTCGTGCACCAACAAAATTTCCCGACTATTGATAGCCCGTCCCAAATTTATCACGATCTATGACACGACGAACAGCAACACCTATCTTAGCCTAAAAGACCGAACGGATAAAGAGCTCCAAAGTAGTGTTGTATACAAATTTAGCTGTCCTAGTTGTCAATTGTCGTACATCGGAAAAACTGACCGCTGCCTCAGAACAAGGATTAAAGAACACTCCTCCGACAAAAACTCAGAAGTTCACAAACATATTATGTCATGTGAACACTTCCAATATTACCAAACCCTACTAAACCTACCCAACACACCACTTGCTCAACTTGATCCACATACCACAGAAGCCATCATATACCAAAACTGTGTTATTTTAGATAAATCTAGACATTGGTCATTATTGTTATATAAGGAGTCCTTACTTATACATCGCCAAAAACCAGAACTTAATCACGGAACTAGAGCCTCTAAGGAACTTGTGATATTTAATTAGCGCGTAATTTGATCCGCTTAACTTGTAAATATATATCTCAGTATTTTTCAATAGCGTCATTCCTGATGATGTCTGAAACCTAGTCGAAACGTTGAATAAAATGTTAACTATTTTCGGAGTGTCTATTGTTTTGTTCTTTTTAAAATTACTCAATGGCAACCGTAATTATGAAGTACAATTGGGGATTATGCAAAGGCTGCTTGCAGCCTGCAGTATAAGCATAATTGTACGAAATAATAAGAGACGAGACATAACAATGTAAATATATCCCACCCACCTCTACCCCTAGTTATGTGGTGTTTGTTATGTTTGTTATTATTATTTTCTTTTAGTTTGGATTTTTTATTGATGGTCCATGGTCTTGGATTGTTCGCCCGAAAAAAGGCAACAAGGGGTTACCGGGGATATGAGCAGGGGCAACCTCGTTTTGAGTTAAAATTAATATATTCTGTAAATTGCTATTGTGAGTGAAGTTAATAAAGGGCATTTACATTGTTATACCTCATCTCTTATTATTTCGTACAATTATGCTTATACTGCAGGCTGCAAGCAGCCTTTGCATAATCCCCAATTGTTGTGGACATTGACTGTTGTAGACATACCTTAAAAAGGCCTGCTACACACAGTGATATCTCTTGAACCTCTTTCAGCATGCTGTTTTTATTAATTTCATTAGGGAAAATAATATAGGTGGGTGTGGCCTGGCCGATAAATTTTCAAAATTTATCAGATTTTCTAAAACCTTTTCTTGCAGGCTATTAAAGAAAACAAGAAATGAAACAAGACGAAATGATTATGTAATAAATTACAGATTGTGATACAAATTTAATTATGATACAAATTGTGTAAATATTACAAAAAGTTTGTAGAATGTACAATATACTCCACAATGCATAAAGACATCTGTCATCATAATCATATCTTCAAGATTGTAAAAGTAATACTCTATAGCAAAGATCTGTAAAAAATATACTTTCATTGTTAGGCTTTATTTCCTTTTCGGTATCCAAAATGTAGAAATTTATTCGACAACTATTTATATTTTCATGATTTTAAAGTATAATAAATTATCAGGACACAACAATTAAGCTTTTCAAGAACATAAAATAAAATAAAAACCTAAATAAACTGTTTGCATAATAAAAAAAAAACTTCTTTGTGTACATTCGGAGATCGGACTGTACAGCATCTTTAACTCAGAGGGAAAGAGATATTTTTTGTATAGTAGTGGGATGGATTTACCTGGGGGTATTGAAGAAGGGGGTTCTGTGTGAAATCGTTGGCAATTATCAAAGAAGAAAATAAAAGTATTGGGTCATTATGACCTTATAGGTAATTTTGTTTTCCAAAAAGTTTGACATGCGTGGTTCGTTGAGCCTGTCTGGGGTCCATAATAAAAACTCGTCTTAAAAAACTATCCTAAAAAAATTATTTTAGTTAGTCCATCCCTGAATTGAAAACCAAAATTCATATGGGATGTAGGTAAAAATTCCGAGTGGAATTAATAGTTGAAACAATGTGGTATGAGGGTTGCTAAATCAGGGCTGGTCATAAAGCAAGATCTGAGTAACAACTGAGGTAAGATGCATAATCACTATCACACAGCTTATAGGTATGCACCTATGAACAGGGACGTAGCGACCGGGGGTGTGTGGAGGGGTAAATCCCCACAAATGTGAAACTCGGGTAAAAATCAGGCAAAATTTAAGTCTAGATTTTTAAATTTTCACGTAAAATTTACGTAATAAAGTCGTTATTTTTGTAAAATGATAACCATTTTTGTAAAATAGAGTCAATTTAGATCCAACTCGTTTGCGAGTTTGATTTAGGAAACGCCAGAAATGCAGTCCGTGAGCTTAAAAAATGTAAACATTGTCACCACCCTTTTTTTCGGAAGCTTGTATACTATGACAGTGGAAATCAATCAGAAAAAGCTCTATTATAATCATTGCACTTGAGGTAGATTTTTAATATTAAAGTTCAAATTTCAAGTAAAATTCTCCAACCACCCCCAACTTCAGACGCTTCGCTAGGTCCTCGCCTATTAGACAATATCGCAATAGTTATTGGCCATGACGAGAACTGCATCACGACTCTGCTTTAACTAGCTTTCAATACGATAATCTTGGGTACAATCATCGCGTTAAATTGATAATATCAAATTTATATTGCCCAACCCTATTTACCGGTTGTGACTGGCAATCCGAAACCTGAGGGAGTCTAGGTAAATACAGGGTACGTGTAGATTAAAATAAATTCATAACGTGGCGGTCTGTTCAAAATTCCTAAACCTCTGGCCACTGGTTGTTGTCAAATGCCGAGGAATAGAACCAAGGTGAACCTGAGATCCTCATTGGCTAAATAATTCTCGTTTAAGAAATGATTATTTAGCATGCATATTGCTATTTTAAGGAAAAGTCCTACACATATTTTATATTTAGATAATTTTTATAGTTTAATTTATAATTTGCTTCTTGTGTGATTGTCATGAATAAATCCAAGATAGTTAATCAGAAATCCGTTAGATTTTAGCAGATCACATGACCAGCATCTACCAGGGTCTTTTCTCCACAAGAGGAAATAAGACCCTGGGTACGAGGTTGTCGGACACTAACTTGCCGGGAGTGTACCGGAATTTCTAATTGTGACTACGATTTAAGATCGCTCGATTAAAAAACGAGGTGTATACAAGTTTTACCCCTCTTAATTTCGTTTTTTAAGGTTTTATCCGGCATGTTATGGAATTTTGCTATATTTTAGTACAGAACAAACTGTCGCCATCAACAGGGGTGTGCGACCAAGAGTTCGTACTTAGTGTACGTCCAAAGCCCCATATAGGTACGGAAGTAATTAGTATCCAAATAGTGGCATAGTTCTGGCTGGTGATTTTAACCAACTCGATTTTAAATCAACTGCGAAACTTTTTACTAAAGACCTGCTATAAATCTCCCTATTCGAGGAATTAAGACTCTTGATCAGACTTTACAAATCTTAAAACTTTTTTTCCAGCGTAAAGAAGTCCACCGTTTTGTTTATCTGACCATGTCACGATTACTATGATTCCAGCAAAACGTGTCAATTTACGACCCCAAAAATCGACTATAAAAGTACGGGATAGAAGACCAGGCAATGTTGCAAGCCTTGGCCGTTTCCTTTTAAATATCCCATGGGAAAATGTATTGTCTTCTCTGCAATATTTTGTTGATAAACTGACAACATTTACAGAAATAATAAATTATGGTTTAAACACCATAATTCCAGAAAGATAAATTAAAGTAAACCCAAATGATCGTCCGTGGATGACTAGCCATTTGAAACGCCTTATTTTACAAAGACAAAAAGCATTTGCCTTATGTAACAATTTCATGTTTAAATTGCTGCGAAAAACAGAGTAAATCGGGAAAGAAAACGTTGTCGAAAAGTAAATTATGAGAAAAAGTTAGCAACCTGATTCGAAACCTAAAGACTGGTGGGAGAGGTAAAACAGCTCACACAGCCAAATTGAGAATTCTTACCTAGAAAAAAATTCTTGCAAAATTCTTATTTTAAGCAATATTTTGCTTAGAATAAGAAAACCGAGAGAAAATATTCTTATCAAGAATTAATTTTACTTAAAATAAGAAAAATTTCTTAGCAAGAATAATTGTTTTCTTAAAACAAGCAAAAGTTCTTGCTTTTTATTCTTTATACCAAGAGTATTTAATACTTAAAACCGGCAAAACGTCTTGCTATACAAGAATAATTGCTGACTTAAAACAGTCATTGGTTCTTGTTGATATCCTATTCAAGACAAAACTGTTTTCAAGACAAAACTGTATTCAAGACAAAATTTGTTTTCTTAAAATATATAAGCAACTAAAGAGTCTCATCAGGAATATCTGTGTTCTTAAAAGAAGTAAAGTTGCCGTTTGATAGGCTTAATAAGATTATTTGTTTTATACAGTGGTTAAAACAAGTAAAGTTTCCGTCTAAATCATTGACAAGAATATCTGTTTTCTCGGAACGTGCAGTAAGAGGCGCGCATATTAAAATTTAAGAGTGAGTATAAGAATTGACATTCTTACCAAGAATTAGAGTTCTTAAAACAAGCAATTTATTACTTAAAATTACTTACTTACACTGGGGCAGTGTAAATCTACCCTTAACCTGGTGTATGTTGCACAAAGTCAAAGAATATGTTAAAATACTATATTTCTACTAAAGTAGAAACTATCTCGTAACATTTGTTCATATCTGATTTTGGCGTCAGTGATCACGGAAGTGTGCCGGGATAAACAGTAAATATATGCAGTGAAAAAATTGTGTGGTGATAACAGAACCCACTCAAAATTAATTTAAATCTTTTTGTCGAATTTAACTCTCCTGAAACTAAGTTTATAGTCCCCCATTTCCAACAAAATATCCTGGGGAGTGGGGACCGTAGAGTCCTGGAGAGTGAAAGGCTCCTATTATGTACATAATAATAATAACTAAAATATATATGCATCTTACACTGCGTCGCAAATGCTTTAAATATTGCCATGTAAGGAAAATATAATAACACAGCTAGAATTTTGGAGATGGAATTAAATGTTTCTGTCAAAAAAACAGAAATGCAGTTTAATTATCACTGGATTGTTCACATGATTGAGATGAGTGGCTTCAGTCAATCGCTTTGCCATATATGGTCTCCCAGAAGGCTTAGCGGGCACATTTCGAGCGCGTCGTTTAGAAATTTTATAACGCTGGTTGATAATATTATATGGCCAAGAAGAAACAAGAAGAAATACTCCACTTATTGAAGATTCAGAGCATCATTTTAAATGTAAGTGTTTAACTATGTCAATATTTTGAAGTTTCATGTGTAAATATGTGCCATAAATAGTTATATTCATATGTATTTTTAACCACCATGCCTTTGGCCGCCTTGCATTCAACAATATTGGATTAAACAATATATTGTTATTAAAATACATTAAAACTCTGTGATATTGCTTTATATTTACAGATTATAATTTCAAGCAATAAATACTGTCATAATATGTGATCCAAACAGTCGAACTTTCGAAATCATAAAATATAAAACGACAACAAACTAGAACATTTACTATAGGCTACATGAAGGTATGAACTATGAAATTAATATTGTTATAAATGTATTGATGTATTCAAAGGGTATCAATATCGACTCATATTGGTATAATCGCAAAAGCAAGTTCTATGGCTTTGTACAGAAGAAGAAAAATCCTTTCATTGTGCTATCCTTCACACTTCAAAATTATGAGTTGTCTTATCTTGGGCGTCTTAGGAAACATAACTTATGCTATATCTTACTGGCTTTACGCCTATATCTTACTGGCTTGAAATAAAGGATCTCATCTTTTTTTTCAAATGCAAATAAGGCCTCTACGAACTAGATATCTCCTCTTTTGTCACCTTTTCTTCTAATCGCTTATCTCGCACCCTTTCAAGTAAGGACAACTTGCTTCAAGTCAATCCGTGCAAAACCTCTCTTTTTAGAAACTATTTTTTTAATTAACCGAATTGTCTTTCTATGGAAAAATCTCTCTCCGATCATTCGTAACAGTTCGTCTGTTTCATCCTTTAAGTTCCAGCTCCATTCTCACTATACTCTTCTCAATTAGACTCTTCTTTCGATGTTAACAGAATGCGCACTTGGAAAACCTATTGCTCAAAATGCCGTTCTTTCAAGTTGTTGCTCATAATCTAAAGTATTAATTTTTATATAGCTATGTAAATAGTGTTCTAGTCCTTGTCTTTAATGTTTCTACTTATTGTATTGTATCAGGTTGGTCTTCACATGGGACTCATGTCCTGTTGACCATACCTTCAATCATTGTTATAATTTTTTGTATGATTGTAAAGTTAATAAATAAATATCCATATTTTTGTGCTATTATAGGCCAGAGAATAGGGTCCAGACAAACCCTGAATATACATGTTTCTGAATCCCCTGACTACATTGAGGACACATGTTTCTCATAGATATACCTTTGAGAAATTGCAAGCTTAGGGGCCGATTACATGGAGCACTTTCAACCCGGGGATTGAACTCAGCCCTGCTAACCGGGTTGAATTTTGTCTTCCATTACAGGGACTATTTCAACCCCCGAGTTGAAATGCTATACGTTCTCGGCATTGATTCCCGGAAGTAAAAAAGCCTCCATTTTGTTTTCTTGTAATAAATAGTCACTACCACACATGTTCGAATAACTCAATTACTCACGAATAATTTCAGCCCTGGGTTCAAACGATTACATGACAAAATTTTCAACCCAGGTTTGAAATTTTAATCGCGGATTTGATTTTGATAGATTTTTGTATTACAGACCGTGCTGAAATTTGAACCCGGTCAAGAGGGCTGAGTTCAACCCCAGTGTTGAAAATACTTCATTTAATCGGCGCCTTAAAACACTAATCCCTGAGGAAACTATAGTGTGCCCCGCAGATCCTAATATGGCATGCGTAACTGTTTATGAGTTAAGTTGTATGTTTATATTGAACCGAGGCAGCCCAGATACCAGAGTTAGGCCTAAAAAATACCTGTGGTTCCGGTTTCCCAAGGTTTGAAAGGTGTTTATATGCTGTCAATAATTTTATCAAAGCGGCATACTTTGGGCACAGAAACTTTGATACAGTGTAAATCATATCAGCCTTTACATTAACCAGCCTTGCTGCTAACTCATTGAGTCGCATTGCGCCCTGATTCTCCCTGCTTTATTATTTTAGTCTGCCTAACGCCAGACATTTTTACTTGTCAAGGCAAGAGCGCTGGCACTTAATGGTTAATTAGCCTATCTGCCCATGTGTCTAGTTAACCCATTGAGTTGCATTGCACCTTACTTTATTATTTTACTCTGTCTAACGCCAGACGATTTTACTTGTGACGGGGAAAGTGCCGACGCTTAATGCGGGTTAATGAATAATGAGTTAATGTTTTAGGTATTTATTTGTTATACAAACATATGAATTATTTATTTAAAATATTGCATTCCTACATATTAATTTTTCAAAAAACTATGCAAATTTGATATATGACGGATATTTATATATATCGTTTTTAATTAAATATTTAATTATAGTTATTAGATTACATGAATTTAATTTTGTAAGATGTGTTAATTTATTCTATTTATGTTTTATGAAAGATGCCACAGGTCATAATTTCAATCAAAGCTGCATGCATGAATAGGAAAGTAGGTCATTTTTACTTAAAACAAGAATATTCTTATGCTCAAGAATTTTCTTATTCTTACTCAAAGAATATTTTTGCTTGTTTTAAGTAAAATAGTTCTTCAAAAAAATTCTTGTCTAGACAACAATTCTTACTATACTGACAAGAATAATTTTACTTGTTTTGAGAACATTTTTGCTTAAAACAAGTAATTTTTTGCTTGACACAAGAATTTTACCCGTATAAAAATTCTTGTTTTAAGCAATTTTTTCCTTAATAAGAATTTTAGGTAAGAATAATACTCTTACCAAGATTCTTGGTTAGAATAATATTCTTACTAAACTGACAAGAATAATTTTACTTGTTTGAAGCAATTTTTTGCTTGAAATAAGTAATTTTTTAAAAAACTAAGAATTACGATTTTGCACCTGCAATTACTGATATATTTAATGCATCTTTCCGTGAATGCAAGGTGCCGAAAGTATGGAAAATAGCAGATGTGCCAACTGTTCCTAAAGCCAAAAACATTACTGATTTTAACAAGAACTTGAGACCAATATCCTTAACTTCAACATTGTCAACAATTGCAGAAAACACCATCATCGAGTATGAATTAAAATCTAAACTACTAAGAAAGATGGACCCAATCCAATTTGGCTTTATCCCAGGATCAAACACGACTTTTGCGCTTACTTCAATGATGCATACCTGGCTAGCTGCACTTGATGGGACGGTCTCCACAGTCAGAGTCGCTTTACTTGATTATCGCAAAGCCTTGACCTAGTCGACCACAATCTACTTGTTGCAGAACTATCCAATTATGAAATATATCCAACGGTAGTAAATTGGATAGCTGACTTTCTTCGTGGTCGAACTCAGAGGGTTAAAATAAACTCTGTGCATTCAAATTTTCTACAAGTTTCTACCGGTATTCCACAGGGAACGAAAATCGGTCCCTGACTATTCTTAGCAATAACAAATGACCTATGTATTACAAAATCTCCGACCAGTAACCTGTGGAAATTTGCAGACGATACTTCGGTTTCCGAAGTCATTCCAAAAGACGGTGTTAGTTCCCTGCCTGATAAAGTAGACGAAGTAAATAAATGGTCGAATGAAAACAAATTACAACTGAACCCTGGTAAATGCAAAAGAGCTGAGTATAAATTTTATCACGGAACCATTTACTGAGGAACCCCTAGATATAAACGGGATGCCATTGAAATTGAAAAATCCGCAAAAGGTCTGGGTATGATAGTTACCAATGATTTGAAATGGAACAAACATCCGAGGAAAAGGCTTCTAACAGACTTTATTTATTAAGGCAATTAAAACATGCTGAAGTGGAAACTAGATCTTTATTCAAGTTTTATAGTATACTTGTCAAGTCTTCCACTCGAGTGTCCCTAACTACCTATCAATGGAAATTGAAAGTATTCAGAAGCGTGCACTACGGATTATCCACCAAGACTCGAGTAACATCGAAGCATTAAAAAAGGCAAAGTTGGAAACATTGTACGATCTATCTATCTATCTATCTATCTATCTATCTATCTATCTATCTATCTATCTATCTATCTATCTATCTATCTATCTGTCTGTCTGTCTGTCTGTCTGTCTGTCTGTCTGTCTGTCTGTCTGTCAGTCTGTCTGTCTGTCTGTCTGTCTGTCTGTCTGTCTGTCTGTCTGTCTTTCTGTCTGTCTGTCTGTCTGTCTGTCTGTCTGTCTGTCTGTCTGTCTGTCTGTCTGTCTGTCTGTCTGTCTGTCTGTCTGTCTGTCTGTCTTTCTGTCTATCTGTCTGTC